ATATATATATATATATATATTTATTACACTATATACAATAAAAACTAACACTCACATACCCTGTTTTCCCCAAAATAAGACCTCCCTAGATAATAAGCCCAATCGAACTTTTGAGCACATGCGCTAAAATAAACCCTCCCCTGAAAATAAGCCCTCCCCAAAAATATTGCAACACAGCAGCAGCTATGAGGTGACCACACTCGCTGCCTCCTGCACCTCAAAAATAATAAGACCTCCCCAAAAAGAAGGCCAAGTGCTTATTTCGGGAGTCAAAAGAGAAAAAGACCCTGTCTTATTTTCGGGGAAACAGTGTGTGTGTGTGTGTGTGTGTGTGTGTGTGTGTGTAAACATGGACAGGTATTGTAGGCACAGCATTTTTTCTTTTTTTCCTGCTTTTCCTGACTAACACCTGCTACAATTTTTTTTACAACAGGTTTTCCTTGCTAGTGTAATAACTATAAAACTTGCCTTATTTCCCCTATTTGAAATTCAGCAGGATTTTTGGGGGGTGGGGGTGTTTAATTACTATTTTTATTATCCTGAGCTACCTGCTTTTTCTCAATATTTTAATTCTGGTGCATATATTTTCCAGACCAAGTAAATAACAATCAGAGAAGACAAAGAACTTGAGCATACCTATCCCTGAAATGTGTATTTTAAGGAAGCAGTTCTCAATATTTTTTTTCTTTTTTTCATTAATTTTTACAATCTTATTTGGAAATTCAAGCTTCTATATGTCTTATATCTTAATGCCATGAGGAAATATGCCCAGAAACATTTTCATTTTTACCTTGCTTATATCATTTTTTATTTTCTACATGAAATGAAACTAAACGCTGTACTTTATCATGTCCCACAGAGGGATCATTAGCATAGTTATTTTATTATTATTACTGCTAATTAAAAGTTGGAAGATACTTTATCTTAATTAAATGCAGTAACCAGAGGGAAACTATAGCTACTGGATTATTTTTTGGCTGGAGGCAAGTTTGTTTGTTTATTGATTGATTAAATTTATATTGCTGCCTATTTGTCCATGGTGACTCAAGGCAGCTTACAGAATAGTTAATCAAGATATCTATCAATAGCCTACAATTTGTTCAAATTGGTGAACAGGTCAGAAAAAATAAATAAGTTAAAGCAATTGTCACGAACTGTAAACAATCAGAACATTTGTCAATGCAATTGACAAACAATTGTCAACTATTGTCAAAATATTCATTTGATACAGAAATAAATTGATAATGTTAAAGTAAAACTTCAACAGCAAGATAGATGACATATAAATGTAATAATAAATAAAAAAAGAAATGTATTATTTTGAACTTGATTTTCTGCTTCGGCCATTGATTTCTCAAGGTAGTAAGATCCCTCGAATGCTTTCATATCAGTATACAAAATCTCTCTTGCTCATATCCCTACTACCATTGTTCTTCAGATTCTACAAATATGAATCACTCTTCTATTGCACAAAAAATTCCTTTCTAATTTGGCTGCTTACAGGAAAATGCCATTCCTCTGGCTTCTAGCTTCTCCACTCTTCTTTCCTTTTCTCTGAATCATGTTTATGATCCACACTGAGGCTCATCTCTCTACAGTGGCTTATCCCTATTGCTTGCCAGGTTTATTACCAGTATGAGTGAGCACCATTGTTGGAAGGTGGGAACAGACAGTGCCACCCACATATACCCAATCACAAATTCTCCACTTACAGAACTGTATTTTCCTACTTCTGTTGACAAGATGGGTCATAAGTCACTTTTTTTAGTGTCATTCTAACTTTGAATGGTTGTAAATCAAAGACTACCCTTATAAATTGTTAATAGCAATTTCACCATGTTCCTCTAGTTTCTTATAGAATTGGATTGCTAGTTAGTTTGAAACTATGGAATATCAGAAACTGTACATTTTTTAGGCCACACAGCTGCACAGGGTCAGGAAGATTCATGTTTGAGTTTAAGAGGTGATGAATGGGCAGCAACATGTAGTTGCCCTCCGTTGCTGCTCACTTAATACTTCCTTAATTCAAACATGTATTTTCCTGAACCTGTGTTGCTACATTCAAGTCCATTGCATTGTTTATACAGAAAAAAAATCACTACAAAAGGGAAGCAACCATAATGTAGAGATATAACCTTTGACATAAAAAAAATCTTCCAACATACATATTTAATTACATTGCATTAGTCTTCATTGATTTATAAAAGATGGAGTATTCAAACAACATTGTCATGCTTTATTAAGGTTTTGTTATTATTCAAAAATACAGTATGGATGCAATCTAAATTTTCCTTGGCCAAGACTCTGAGCCTAATGGGGTTACTATTATAACAGTACTATTATAAATGAATTTATTTCAAGCAGAAATTGCATTTTAGTTTAACATTTTAAATAGTATTCTAAATAACTGTTTTATATTTTAATCTATCAGCATGAACAGTATGTCTTTCCTTCAGTCTTTGAAACCAGTTCTTTTTTTCTCAGCTTAGATTAGAAAGTTAAGTGTGGATGCAACACTTTTTGTCATTTGCTTGACATGGCAAAACTTTAATGGTTTAATATTACCTGTATGAATTGTCTCAGGAAGTGTTACAGCTTTAAACCCACTGCTTCAACCTTTCCTAATTCCTTTCAGGTGGTGAAGACTATAGGTTTGCGTGAAGTATGGTACTTTGGTCTTCAATATACGGATAATAAAGGTTTCCCAACCTGGCTGAAGCTTGAGAAAAAGGTAATGAAATAAACTAATTTTCATTGTTAAAATGTCCAAAGATAGGTTTGCACAATTTAATTGATAATCAGTTCCATCTAAAATCTTTAAATCAAATCACAATCTCAGAAAATTATTTTTCCATTGACCTATTTGTAAACATTCATAGGAGGCATAAATAGTATTAATATCTATTAGGAAAAAAGTGAAAATATAATTTGTACTTGCACTACTTAATACTTGAACAGATTAAAACAGTATGATGGTATTGAAAAAAACATACAAAGTTTATGTTAGTCTTTCACAAGTCTTTCTAGATTGTGCTCAATTCGTGCAAAGTAGAAGTTTCCATCTCCCTCCCCCTGATTTTATAAAACTATATATTTATAGCTTTTGCAGTCAGTTCAGTTGAACTGACAATTGAAACAACTTTGTCAATTATGAATGTTAATTTAGTAAATGCTGTTTAAAATGGCTAATCCTATATGCTTAACACAGTTTATTTTGTGCATAATAGGAATGCTGATGCAGAAAAAGCAATTTAAAGGGACTATATAAATCTGTAAACTCAAGTTGTGTTGTGATACTGAGATAAAGAAGTTGCAAGCAGTCAAGAACAGATAATCTAAGCGAGATAATGTTTAAAATATTTAACATCATTTTATTTTTCATTATTGCAATTTAGATGTGTTATAATGATGGATAACTTTTCCCTAGTTTGCCCTTATTAAGCAAATAAACAAAGAACAAGCATACTCTGGTTGACACATAGAGGGAACAAATATTAGGAACTATCTCCAGCTTTCCTTACCACAAAGCCATATGTGTAAACAGCAGCCTTTTTGTTTTTCAAAAAGACATTTCAGTTCTGTTAAGTACTAAAGCAATTTCCTTTTCTTTAGTGCAAAAAGTTTGTGTGTGTGTGTGTGTATGAGAGAGAGAGAGAGAGAGAGAGAGAGAGAGAGAGAGAGAGGATGAATGAATGTATGTATGTATGTTCATGCTCACTGAAAGTTAAACATCTCCTGACAGTGCAAACATCCTGAAAGATAGTTGCTCCTATTTCTAGACTTATCAAATCCTGATGTTTGCTACAGGGAAAAAACAACCTCAGAAATGTAAAGGTTTCCTTGTTCAAACAACCCTTCCCCCCACACATACATGTAGCTATGTTATAATATGACCCTTATTATCAATAATGGAGAATATTTGTAACTCGGGGTTGAACGGAGGGGTCCTTAGTGCTCTCTGAGCCTACCCTGTTTCCCTGAAAATAAAACCTCTCCAGATAATAAGCCCAATCGGGCCTTTGAGCACATGCGTGAAAATAAGCCCTCCCCGAAAATATTGCAACACAGCAGTAGCCATAAGGTGATCACACTCGCTGCCTCCTGCACCTCAAAAATAATAAGACCTCCCTGAAAATAAGACCAAGCGCTTATTTCGGGGGTCAAAAGAAAATAAGACCCTGTCTTGTTTTTGAGGAAACACGGTAGTTGTTCCCTTGCAGATGTTTCATTATCCAAACTAGGTAACATCATCAGGAGCACTGATAATGTTATCTGGTTTGGGTAATGAAATGTCTGCAAAAAAACAACCGAGCTCAGAGAGCACCAAGGATCCCGCATGACCTTCCTAATAGTTACTGAGCAACATTATTGATCAAGTCATAAGAATCAGAAAGGCAATTGAAATGGTGGTTTTGGGGGCAGAAGAGCTTTTTATACTTAAGTAGAGGCTGTTGTTTTTACAGATTTAAAATAAGTTGATTCCTTGGAGCTGGGGACAATCATACGATTAAAAATATGTAATAACTTGATAATAAAAATTGTATTATTGATTGGAGTCAATCGGCAACAAAATTGAATAAATAAATATCTTTGTGTTCAACAAGTTAGTATTTCATAATTTACTGATACTTGTTGTTGCTCCACTTGACTTATCTCTATTTAGGTCTCTGCTCAAGAAATCAGGAAAGAGAATCCTCTCCAGTTCAAATTCCGGGCCAAGTTTTTCCCTGAGGATGTGTCTGTAGAGTTGATCCAGGATATCACGCAGAAACTGTTCTTCTTGCAAGTGAAAGAAGGAATTCTTAGCGACGAGATCTACTGCCCACCGGAAACTGCTGTCCTTCTTGGATCTTATGCTGTGCAATCCAAATTTGGAGATTATAATAAAGAACTGCACAAGGCTGGGTATCTCAGTTCTGAACGTCTGGTCCCCCAGCGGTAAGCACTTCTGTTGAAACCCTGAGGCCCAGCTCTCCCCAATTCTTATTCTTCAAGATAAGAATGTGGGATGTGTAAAAGACACTTAGAACAGCTTTTGCAGCTGTTATGACTGATAGCCAATGTATTAAGAAGAGAGTGACACGATAAAATGAAAAGTCTGAGGTTCGTTTTTCAAAATGTTGATAAAATACTAGTAATAGAAAAGAACTACAGTGTGTTATAATTTTCATGAAACTTAGCACAATTTAAGATTTTTAAAAATGTTTTAGAATATTAGGGATGCTCATTGCTTATGGGGTTCTAGCACTGCACATAATAGTTAGCAACTAAACATGATACCGTGTTTCCCCGAAAATAAGACAGGGTCTTATTTTCTTTTGCCCCACGAAATATGACCTTGGGCATGTTATAGGGGGAGGCTTATTGTTTTGAGGTTGCCAGGCAGCTGCTCCCTTGCAAACTGGCTCCCGAAGAGCCAGGCACAGCCTCAGGGGTGAAGCTGCCATGAGGTGACTACACTCACGAGCAACCACCCGGCTGCCAGACAGGGAGTCTTCCAGACAGCGAGAATTCCAGCAGCCAGCCCACAACCATAGAATGCACTCCTAGAGCGTCCGCTGCTGGAAGACTCGGCAGCCGGGTTTTGGAGTTTGGAAGCCGTAGAAGAAATTATGCTCGGAGCGTGGTGGGGGTGGAATAGGCGCTCACGCAAACCCTTCTCCAGCCAGGCAGAGCTCCATGACCTAGGGGGTATCCCGAATGTGCCAAGTCGCGGGAGCTGGGGGCGGCAGGCAGAATGCCAGGTGGCTTGGCGCCTTAGGGATACCCCTTAGATCAGTGAATGGTGCTCTGCCCGGCTGGAGAGGGGTTTTGCCGGGCAGCTGCTTGTGAACGTGGTCACCTCATGGCTGCTTTGCCCCTGAGGCTGTGCCCGGCTCTTCAGGAGCCAGTTCGCAAGGGAGCAACCTCCCGGCAACTCCCCCCTCCGGCCAGGCCCAACACCACTCCCAAACCTAGTGGTATCCCGAAGGTGCCAAGCAACGTGAGCACCTTTCCCCCTGGCTTCTGCAGCTTGGCGCCTTCAGGAAACCGCTAGGTCGATGAGTAGTGCTCTGCCTGGCTGGAGGGAGGTGTTGTCCAGGGGGCTTATTTGCGGGGGAGGGCTTATATTTTTGCCCATGCAAAAAATGTGGCAAGGCATTAGTTTCAGGAGAGGTCGTATTTTCGGGGAAACACGGTAGTGAGGCTAATGCTTAAGGTTTTGAATCAGTCGCTCTTCTCAAACTACTTCGAAGGATAGTTGTTATAATGAAAATTAAAGGAACTACATGTACCACTTTGAGGTCTTGAAATAAAATGTGATCTAAGCCTAATGAAAATTGCAACAAACAAATGGGGAAATATTATCAAGATAGAGTGTTGGTTGAATAGGTCTATTATTTCTCAATTCATTTCTGGTTTCAGTTAATAAACTAATAAATTACTGCTATTTAACACTGCCTTAAGGCATCAGTTTGTTCCATGGAACTCTTGAGTACAAAAATCATTGGCCCAGGAACTTTTGCAGACATTTGCACATCCTTAAAGAATAACTTTATAGTAAAGCTAGAGTTTAATCATTAAAAGACTAGTATTGGAACTTGATCAAGGTTCATGTTTTTTTTAAAAAAAAATCTCAAAAAAGTGATTTTTTTTACTTTAAACATTTTGTGCGATCTTTTCCATATACCCAAGTTCGCTAGCACATTTTTGTAAATAAAACAAATTAAACCTTAAATTTCATGGTATACCTTTCTATTTTTAGAGTAATGGATCAACATAAACTATCTAGAGAACAATGGGAAGAAAGAATTCAAGTGTGGCATGCTGAACATGGTGGAATGCTTAAGTGAGTTATATCATTGATTTTTTTTAATTGACTTTTAAAAATTGGTCTTAATTATTTTCAAAATGTCCAATGTTTAATTCTCTTATTCCAAACCCATATCTTATATGAAATCTAAGCACTAGAGAAGATTTTTAAAGCACCACTTTCTTTTGTTCTGCACTCATTATATTAAATTACTATTGATATAAATAAAAATATCTTGTATGTATATATACTATATAGGCAAATCCAAGATGATTCAATAGAGTTAATGAAATAATATTGAACAAACAATGGGAAAAAAACCATAAAAATTGATAAATGGAGGAAAGGGTTAGTAATAGGGAAGTGAGTTCGTTCTTTTAGATCTTTTTCTGTTACATCTATCAGTCTGGATATTGTATTTTCCCAGCACCTCAAAGCTCTGCATCAGTCTTGAAAACAAGTCTTAACATTTCCCATTTCGTATTAACCAGAGAAAATGCCATGCTGGAATATTTGAAGATTGCTCAGGATCTTGAAATGTATGGAATCAACTATTTTGAAATAAAAAATAAGAAAGGAACAGAACTTTGGTTGGGAGTAGATGCACTTGGGCTCAACATTTATGAAAAGGAAGACAAGTAAGTGGAGATATTTGTAATCCTTTGTAAGAGTAAAAAGCTGCTGTTGTGCCAAAGAATTACCTCATCTCTGATGTGTAATTTTATCGCAATCATATCTGCTAAGGTCACCTTGCCTTTCAGATTGTATGCCAAATAATATTGTGCTGGAGTGCATGTGACTTCAATGTCACTTGCCTTGCTTTATCGCATTAACGGTGCTGTTTTCTTCTTAAATTCATGTACAGACATGTGGTTTCGGAAGGACAGACAGGGGCTTTGGAAATAATCATCACATGGCTTGTCTTTATTATTATGTATCATACCTTAATGATAATTCTAAAAAAAAATCAGAAGCCAAGTCCATTTTCAGTTTTGGACAGAATCAGGAACAATCATCTACATGATCTAAGGTTTGGATATGAGCCAAAGGATAATGTAGACAATCCATGATCCATTGGCACATTCTGCTTTCCGTGTATACTATACATTTGTGATGTTTGCCTTCACTCATGAATTTCAGGAAAGCTCTGGTGAAACTACTTCCTCCACCACTTAGCTGACCTACAGAACTTCCTCCCATTTTGTTGGGGGGAGGAGGAACAAAGGGAGTGGCAGACCACAAGGAAAACTGCACCCCACACCCTATTTTGGCATGACACCAAGGGACCCCTCTCTCCAAGGAGAAAGAGGGCCCACCCGTTGACCATCAACACACCCTTGCCAGCAGGCATCTGAGTCACTCATTCCTCCCTTACTGGTCACCACCATTAAGAGATTTCAGATTTCAGCCTCAGTTCCTAAGCAATCTGTTAGTCCTTACTGCCAACCAATTGGGAGCAGGTTCCAATGGGCGATAAGGGAGTGAAGATAAAGTCCTCCCATTTTTCCTTGTGCCAAATAACTTAAGGATTTTTGGGAAGTGTACTCAAAAGGTATGCTGCTGAATTCAGCCACAATTCGGCCAAATTTCAATCCCTTGGGAATCATGGGTTCCAGTTGTTGGATGTATTCTGTAAATTAGCCTATTTGAGATGCGTTGTAATTGTTGCCCTATGATGCATTGTGTCATTGAATTGAAGATTACAAAGTATCAAACAGACACATATATTATAGTCTTATAGTCTTAATAACCTGTTCTGTATTGTATGTGTTACATAGTCAGGGAAGAGTGCATCTTTTGCCTGTAGAGAGCCTCAGATTCAATTCCTGTCATCTTTAGTTAAGGCTAGGGAATCTCTGTTTCGAGAGCTGTGGTTGATTAGAGTAACCAAGTCTGAGCAGAATGCATTCACAGTATCGTCACCATTTAAGAAGCCTTGCTGAATCATCCAGGATTCTCACTCAGCTTTTTCCCCACTGGAGAACTTTCATTATGCTTATTCCAAGCTAGGAGCCATTAGTGAGAAATGATTCTTAGCCAACAGGTTGGCTTTATCTGGAAATAGTGCAGGTAAAATCAAGTCAAATCCTTGGAATACCAAACTGACAATCTTTGTTATTTTAAGACAGTAGCTCTAGGGTTCCTTATTAAGGAAGAGATTCGAGGAAATAGCATTAGTGATAATCTGGAAATCAGACAGAAGTAACCGAATGATAACAATTAAATATAAAAAGGAGTGGTTCCTTTTCACATAATACTTGTTCAATACAACAAGGATATACAAGTTTTAAATTAACTAGAGCTTACTTTTGAAGCGTAGTAGATTATTTATAAATAGTAACTTGAATTTGTTTCAAAGGCACATTTTAAACCAGACAAACATTCAAACAGGAGAAACTGTCTGCAAACATTGAAAAAAAAAGGCTACATGCTAGGTCTTTCTTGAGGTTTTTAATCAAAATTATACCAGGATCATCGAAGAAGGGTTTTTTTTCCTAGCAAACCAATCACACCTAGAAAATAAGGAGTGTCACTCTAAGGATTGCATGAGTGAAACTACTTCTGGATTCTTGAATGACAGGTCTCTTTGTGTAGCCACAGTCATTCAAACTGGTTTTACAAGCTATATAAAGCCTGCAGGAGGAAACATTTGCTTCTGAAGGAAAATCTGAGGAGGGGGATGTGCCCAGAAAATTAAACATTGGCACCTCTAGTGATTCATAATTGAATCTTCATAATATGTAAGTTAAGTTGTTGCTTCCCCCCCCCCCTTATTTATTTTTACTACATACTTGAATGCATAGAAATTGCTGGAGGTTGGAATATGGTAAGGCACACCTATGGCTAATACTGAATTTAGCATATAAATAACAGCACTTCCATTTTTCATTATGAAAACTGCCTTTGCATTCCGACACTTAATTACCACATCAATAGCTTTAAAACAGTAGTCTGTATATGTTGAAAAGCATTAACACACAATGCTCGTTATTCTGTGTGAGTTATATACTTGTGTGTTTCTTTGTATGAGGAGGATGATCTTTGCTCAGATTTTAAGTTCCAGTGTAAGCCTTGCTCTAACTATAACATGGATCTCTACAAGATTAAATTAATACCTATATATTATAAAGGAGATTTAAATGGATGAAACCTTTATGTGGAAGAGCCTTATGTCTCTGTGAAGATTAAAGATTTAAAAAACGTGATGTAAAGAAGAATACAGGTGTTAGAACAATAAGGGTACAAAGAGAGAGAGGGGGAAAGAGAGACTGAATTATTTTCCCCCCCAATCCCTGGAATTTGATGCTATACAGAATGGGATGGGCAGTCATGTAGCTCATGTACTCAAAAATGATATTTATTAGCATGTCAGAGTTGCAGTGGTTAGAACGCAGTACTTCAGGTTACTTCTGCTCATTACTGGCTGCCTGCAATTTGGCAATTCGAATCTCACCATGCTCAAGATTGATTCAGGCTTCCATCCTTCCGAGGTGGGTAAAATGAGGACCCAGATTGTTGGGGAAAATATGTTGACTCTGTAAACCACTTAGAGAGGATTGTAAAGCACTGTGAAGTCTAAATGCTATTGGTATTGCTATGTCAAAGTACATCAACTAAGCCAGGTACAAAATTGTGTTTTGCGAACCACATAGTGTTGACTCAAATGCCATTCATTTAATGACAGTTCAAAGTTACAATGGCCTTGGAAAATATATGTCTATCCTCAAAGTTCTTACTGTTGCAACAACTCTCAGAGTCACGTGATCACAATTCAAGCACTTGGCAATCTGCTCTCATTTACAATGATTCAGTGTCTTGCAGTCACATGATCACAATTTCAACCTTTTCAGCCAGCTTCTGACAAGCAAAGTCAATTGGAGAAGCCAGATTTCCTTAATAACTTCATGCTTCACTTAACAACTATGGTATTTGCTTAACAACCGTAGTAAAAATATTGTACAATTAAGACTCATCACTTGATGACTTGTTTAGTGACCAAAATTCCAGTAATTGTGGTTGTAAACCGAGGACTACCTATAATTAAGCCAGATTTCTTGGTCTGTATTGTAGATTGTTTCCTTATCTGTATCTGCTTTTTTTGTTTCCAGGTTAACCCCTAAAATTGGCTTCCCTTGGAGTGAAATTCGAAACATATCTTTCAATGACAAGAAGTTTGTTATAAAACCAATTGACAAGAAATCACCAGTGGGTATAACTGATAATTAGAGTTGTTCCTAATGAAAGAGAAATATTTATTTACTATTTTTAAAAGCCCTACCTCTTAATTTGCATAAAACGTAGAATGAAATTGCATGCCAATTCAGTAGTTAAATTATAATGGAAGCACTTGTTTCTATCAAATAAATTTGGTTAATGGTTGAAATTGTTTCAACAGAATATGGAATGCTCCCTTCTCTTCATCATACCCACATCAATATGTTAGAATGTTTGTTAAATCATTTTACTGTACTTATTGAATATTAATATTATAGACATCACTTTATTTCTCTTATATTCCGCAAAATTGGGAGTCTTAAAATTGCAGTCTTAAAATGATAACTTGTAAAAAAAACCATAGGAATATCTCCTTATTCAGTAACATCTTCTATTGTTGCATTATAGAATTTAATTTTCCAGGTAATTTTGAAATAATCTTTCTATAAATCCTTTGTAAGAGGTTGGCATATTGAAAAATATGTCTCATTTTCCTTTCCTTTATAATATAAATAGGTCTCATCAGAAATTGCTTCAATTTCAGAAACAACTTCCTCTCTTTAAAATATTTGATTAGTAGAAATAATTCATTGCAGCTGATGAAAAAAATTAGTTATGTAGCCATTAAACATATCGACATTTTGTATTACAAATATTCACTGGAGCCCTGAATAACTTTATTGTGTTATTTCTCTTAAATGTTAGCCTCACTTTCTTCTTTTGGTATTTCATAATTTCCCTTCGGTCTCTGTTCCATCCTGCAAATGTATTTGCTTTCATACTTGGCTATTAAGTTCTTAGGGACAGAAGTTTTGAATTTGAATGATTTCCATACCATTACTAACCCATGCACAAAGCACAATGAATATCACAAAATAGGCTTTTAGAGAAGGATTGTTATAGTAGTTATTAAATTGGTCGGGCTCAGAAATTATTAATGTATTTTTAGTGCTGAAATTAGCAATCATCGGTCAGTCGTGGGAAAAGATCTAATCCCTATATCAGCAATAGCGAACCTTTTTTGGCTCGCGTGCCATAAGGGAGAGGAGCGCATGGGGGTCATGTGTGGGGGCGCACCCATAATGCAATGTGCGACAAACACCCCAGTGCACATGCGCACATGAGAGGCGCGACCTCTCATTTTTCCATGCTTTTTTCGCCCTTCCCAGGCTCCAGGAACTTTATAGAGCAGAGGTGGCGCAGTGGTTAAATGCAGCACTACAGGCTACTTCAGCTGACTGCAGTTCTGCAGTTCTGCTGTTCAAATCTCACTGGC